AAACAAGTTCGAACCAATAAAAACATTAGTTTTCTTATTCTTGTTAATTTTTTAACTATTGAGAACATTAAATTTTGCTAGTGACAAATTTTATTCTTTAGAAAAAAAGAATACTATCGAACATTGTACAAAAATGTTAAATTATATTGTTCTAAGAACACTATTCTTATCAATAATTGTTTCCTTTTTTTCACAAGATATTGTCTGGAATATGTAAAATAATCTTAATTACTATCGATATATTTGGCAAAAATAAATGAAAACTACGAATTGTTGACAAAACTACTAAACAATATGAGTTTTTGTGTGAGACTTATGTTTCATCTACAAAATAAATTTTTAAATTATCTTCTACTCGAACTATGATTTTCTTTTTTTCTGTAAAGGTAAAAAAGCTTTTTGTTTCAGTTGTGTTTTGAAAAATTGTACGAATTCTATCCAATGGCATTCATCAAAAAACATGGAAGTAATATCCTTGAAATTGTCGTTCAACTTAAATTAATTCCTTATTTAACAATAACTATGCCATACCTGATTTTCACGAAATATATATTTGTTATATTCTGCCATCATTTTTAATAAAATTGGTATTTGTGCACAAAATTCATCATGCATTTCTTTTTCACTTTCCTAATCAAGAACAAAAAAAGAAATTTTTATGTTCTTTGAGTATATTTTCAACTTTACATGTGGTGAAAGTTCAATAAATAAAAATTTATTTCGTTCATCTTCTACTTGTGAATCGATACCATTTGAATAAACTACAGGTAATCCAATAAGAGCATCTATGATACGATAAATGCTTTATAAAAATTTGACAGAGAAAAAAAAGAAAAGTAAACCAACCAATTAAACTGACAACGCCATGTTTCCATGATCGTAAAGTTGCTTTAAAACTAAAACAATTCGAGATAATACGATCTCGAGCATACATGATTACCATATAAAGAGCACCTGATAATTCCTATAAATAAAATTCAACAAATATATAGAAATTTAATTCTTATTTTAAAAAGACGAACTTCATAAAGCACTTCATTAGCTGATTGTATGCCCGACTGAAGTAAGTTACTTAATCTCCATCGATGACGTTGACCAGGAAAATGAATACTATTTACTTCAAATTCTCTATATTAAATAATTTGTAATAATCTTTTTTATTATTAGAGAAAAATATTTCTTCCTTTACCCTGTTTGTCGAACTGCCTTCAATTGTTCTTCATTTAATTTCAATGATGATCCATCTGGATTAGTTGATATAGTTTCAAGTTCGTTTAATGTTGGAGTTTGAAATAATGATTTAAATTCAATCTAAATAATAACATTGATCACTCAAGACTCGTACAGTACATTATATTAATTTACTTTATTCGATTCACTAGTTATACCAGTAATTGATGGTGGTAATGATATTTCAAATGTTTTACATTGTTCTAATTTTTTTTCTGCTTTCTGTTTAATAAAAATCAATATATAATAAGAAATCAAAGAATCGTTTTCTATCTAATACTTCACGAATATAATTTTGTATATCAGCGATATCTGTTGAAACACCAGATGTTGGAGTATTAAAATGAATTGATATTGTCTTTTCACCACCAAAATAATTATTCTTACTGATAATAGAATAAAAAATTCAAATTCTTACCTCATATGTTGGCATGTGAATTGATGCATACTCAGTAGAGTTTGCCATTGAAAACAATTTTTTTTATAAACGACAAAATTTGTATTATTTTCTAAAAGAATAATAATAAAAAAATTAAAAAAACCTGTCAACACATTAATGTGGGCAAGTGCACCTTCATTATTTAGCTATATATAGTTTTCTCCTCGCTTTATATTATAAATATGACTAAGATGAAAAAGAAACTTGTTTTTTTCTTATTGAAGGACTGAATAATAAGAAATAATGGCAGCTGCGTATACCATTACGTTGTGATTGAGTAATGACAATGTAAAGAACGGATGAATAATCAAGTTGTTCTTGCTTGCGGTAAATTTTAAACCTACATCATTAAAAGCCATTAGAAAAATGCCTTAATTTTCTTTCAATTAGAAAGATAACGAGTTGAATAAACCTTCTACAATAAAATCTCACGAAAATATGTCTCAGACTCGTCATCTAGTTGTCTTCATTTGGCTCCTCCTTTTTTTTGGGTGGGGGGGGGGGTGTGGGTGTGTGTGTGGGGGTGTGGAGGTGGGGGTGCGTGTAGGGTGGTGGG